CCCTGCCCCGCAGCAGCCCCACAGCCGGCACCAGGACCTGCTCTGGCTCCTGGCCCTGTGCCCCGGAGGCCGTGGTGTGCTTCGGAAGCAGCCTTCGGGTGACCCCCTCCTGCCAGGAGCCCGCTGTCAGGTCCTGTAGGCAGGAGATAAAGGAGCCTTCTGCATTCCAGTCCCTCAGCCTGGGCACCGGAGAGGGACAGGGACAGGGAGAGAGAGACAGAGAGAGAGAGGCAGTCAGCTTTGCCGCGGAGTGCTGCACCCTGAGCACCAGCCTACCTCCGGCAGGCATGCCAGCGCAGCCTGCACCCCGCCAGGCGCTGGGCTCCCTGGCTCACGGCACTGTTGGGCGCCCAGCACAAGCAGCACAAAATGCAGATGCACAAAGGGCACAGGCCTCCTCCCTGCCACGCTCCCTGCCCACCCCACAGCCTCGTGGCCTGGCTGTGAGGGTCTAAGACAATGCTGTGGAGCATCACTGGGCTCTGCCAGGGACCTCACAGGACCGGTGCCACTGGGAACACGGGAGGACGCAGCCCAGGCTGAGATGGCTCTGGTAAGCACAACCTACATGCATGGCCTGGCTGTCTGCCTGGGGTCCCTCCCAGGTGCTCTGCAAGGAGCCCCCCACAGCATCTCCAGAGGGGTGCAAGGCACTCGGCCCAAGCCACTGCTCTGTCTGCCGGGGATGCCCAGGCTCCAGAGCTGGAGACCAGCAGAGAAGCAAGCAAAGCTGGGAGATTATTGCAGCTGGCCCAGCACAGGGCAATAGCTGGCAAAGCAGTTCTGCTCCCCGCCCACAACCACCCCGGCGCCCCAGGCCGCAGTACCTGTCTGTGCTCTTCTCCACGATGTGGCTAACGGTAGGTGATGCCGTGATCCTGGCTTGCACCTTCTGCTGAACTGAAACAAAAGAGACTTCACTCTCCGGGTCCTGCTCCCCGGTCCCTGGCTGGCGATCACCGGCTTGCATCTTCCCCTCTGGTCTCTGCCCCTCCTCCTGCTCTAGAAGGTCAATCAGGCCATTCATGGCATCTGAGTCCACTGTGTCATCCTCAACCAGGTCCATAGAGCCCATGTGGTCTGGGCCATGCGTGTCTGCTAGAAGCTGCCCTGGGAAACGGCCTTCGCTTGTGGCGTCCGAGTCCTCGGCCTTGCTGCACTCCAGAGAGGAGTCCTCAGCAGTCACCAGCGAGGGGGTGAGCCCTGAGGACCACACCTGCATGTCGGACATCTCCATCAGGGCATCCTGCTCAGTGGCAGCCATGGGGATAGCATCCATGATGGCCACCTCATTCCAGTACTGGTCGGCACGCAGTGGGGATGGCAGCGTGTAATGCAAGGAGGCAGGGGACAGCAGCTCGTCCTGCAGCGAAGCGTAACCTATATGGGCAGACAGAGGCAACATCTCCAGCAGCTGTCTCACGCACGCACAAGCACAGTGGGGCGAGAAGGGAAACAGCCTCCGGGAGGGTGCCTGCCCCAAGGATAGCAATGGTCATGTCACAGACCCCAGTGGCTGGCCTGAGCAGGGCTGTGCTCACAGCAGCTGCTGCCTTTGGTCCCTCCAAGTGCTGCCATGCCTCCCTTCGAGTCCTGGGGCTGGTTTGGGCAGGCCCTGGGGCTGCCCGCTCCCTGCTGGGAGGACTGGCCTGGGGTCCACATGCTGCCCCATCCACAACTGCAGGACACAGTGCCCTCTTTGCTACCCTGCTCCATCAGCCCCCAGGTCCCTGCCCACAACCCTCATCCAGCATCAGCTGGCTGACAGTCAGTCTGAAGTTCAGGTGGCCAAGTCTGGCAGGCACTGACTCCTAAAGTCAACCCCTCTCCACAGCACAGAGGAGCAGGCTGGAAGTAGTACCATGAGCAGGGAAGGATGGCCCTGGTACATGTCATGCAACCCGAAGGCCCTGTGGGATGCGGCCAGAGCCCTACAACCCTGTTGGTGTCTACGGGGGTACAAGCAGTTGTCATGTCCTCATCACCCAGGGCCACGTGCACAGCCCAGGCACACGGATACGGACTACAGCCAAGCCAGGCACCCCCACCCCCACAGATGGCTTTGCTCAGCCTTTTTCAGCTCTGAGCCACTAGCCCCTTTTCCACTCCCGGAGATCAGCGGCAAACCCATTCTGCTCCCCAGGCAGCCAGGCATTGCTAGCCACAGCCGAGGCACGGGGGACAGCTGGGACCCCCAGCACAGAAAGGGCACCTCTCCCCTGTGCGGCTGCCTGGCCGAGGGCAAGCAGTGCAGGACCAGCGAGGGAAGGAGCGCAGGGCAGTGCAGGAGGAGAAGGCCTGGGGTGGCCGCCTGCAAGCACGACAGCCATGAGAGGGGCAGTCCCTGGTGACAAGCAGTCGCTGGAGCAGGACGCAGCTCCCGGAGGGCTCAGCTGAGGTGGTGACAGTGGAGACAAGCAGTGGAGGAAGATGACAGAAGGAGAGGCCAGGATGAGCTCAGAGGAGAGAGGTGACAAGAAGTGACCCACAGGAGTGCCCGCACCTGATGGCGCTAGGTGGCATGTTTGAGAGAGCAGAACAAGGGAAGAGACAGAGAGGGAGAGAGCGATGAGCCAGTGCTGCACAGGCAGCACCACAGTGCAGCGCTGCAGCAGCACAAAGCCCTGTCCCTGCCCGGTGCACCGGCTCCCCAACGGCACACACTGCAACTGACCCCGGCTGTGTCCCCGCACCCAAGCACGCTCTGCCTGGGACCCAGCCCGGGCGCACCACCACAGCCAGACAGCCAGGACTCTGTGAGCTCCCTGGCTACTGCTCAGTTCACACAGCCAGAAGCACTTCTCACTGGCATGTCGGGATAAGGAACGTGTGTCCACCCCACCTGGAGAGCTTCTGAGAAGGCAGTATGGCAGGGCCAAGCTTCCTGCAGTATAAGCCCCAGTGAAGAGGCCGTGTCTGTTGGCAACGCCTTGTGCCCACTGAGCTCCCAGTGGGCCACCGGCGCACCCTGGTCAGGCAAGATATCAGCCCTGATCTGTCTGCACGGACTCTGCCCCCAGGGCCCTCCTGCAGTCGCTGCCAGAAGCCAGGACTCACCATTCATCTGGGATGGCGAGAGGGAGTAGTCTCTGTCTGTGTAGCGCCAGCTGCCCTTCAGGCTGCGGCTCTGCCGGCCAGAGCCCTCCAACGTGTTGACAATCTCACTGCGGTCGATGTTCCTCAGCGCTGTGTACAGACTCTCGACTGCAGGGGGAAGCCAGTGTCAGCAAACTGGTCACTGGGGGAACACAGCCACACCCCAGACACCCTCCAGGCGGGCAGGTGTGCATGAACCAGCAGTGTAAAGACAGCCAGTGACCTCTGAGTATGCACGTGCTGCTCTGCACAGCCAGCCCTGCTACCTCCACGACTGTAACAGGGCACTGCAGATACTCACTCTTGACACTCTTGCCCTCGCGGCTGACCCAGAGGTTGAGTAAGGCTATGCTCTGCTCCAGCAGGGAGTTGGGGTTCTCCACACGTATCCTGTTGATGTCGTCCACCCCGAACTGCAGCTCACGTGCCAGCTCTGGGGGAGACACCACATCTCAGCACCACACTGTCCAGTGCCCACTGTCAGCTCCCAAGCCAAAAAGGCTAGGGATGTTGTGAAGGGCTCAGCCAGACCCAGCACAGAGTCCCCCATGTCACATACAACTGAACATGGCAGAACATGCAGGAGCAGGAGCTGGGACAGGGCAGAGGTTGAAGCCGCTCTGCCCAGGCTGGCTGTGACCAGCGTAGCAGTGTCTCATGCTAAGGAGAAGCATGGGTACCGCCGCTGGGTGTGTGGCTGCAACGACAGTGCTGAGCCTCCACGAACAGCAGCAATACATATGACTTAGAACAAAACCCTAGCCTGCACGTGCGTGTGAATGCAGGCACAGCTGCAAGAAAGTTCATTTCACTGCCATAGTATGCTCACAGTTTAGCAGAAGTTCTGGGAGGCAAGGCCAGCCTTCCAGAGGAGCTAATGCAGACTGCATGCATACCAACTGCATTAGGGCCCAGCTCCCTGGACAGCGTAAAGCATATTCACTCTGCCCTGCAGCATGTTTCCAGCCTTCCTAAGTGTCAGCTTTCTGAGGAGTGTTGTGCATCCTCAGAGCTGTCAGGTGTGGACTCACCGGCCCAGCTGAGGCCCAGCTGTTCTGCTATGTCGACCATCTTCTGGTCTGCCTTGTCTGTGCTGCTCAGAGAGCCTGGAGGAGAAGAGGAAGTTACACCTTCAGCTGTGCAGGGCCCTGCACTGGGGTGGGGAGGGAAAAGGGGTGCTGGCTCTGGGGGTCTCGCAGACTCATAGGTACAGCACTGCCCTGCAGGCAGGACTAAGGAAACCTCAGGGAAAGGGAAGCTGCCACGAGCGCGAGTACGACAGGGTCAGCCCAAGCCTTTCTACTGGGCTTGGGCATCCCAAGCGCAGGTGGTGAGTTAGCTTGAATGGTCCCAGCAGGCTGTATACCGAAACTGGTCTCGCTTAGGATGCTGTATCGCTCCCGCAGAGACAACGGCGTCAGTGTCCTTCTCCGCTCCTCACTGCCGCTTCCCTGTGAGAGTGGGGACAAACCAAGGGGTCACCAGATTGAAAAGAGGGGTGCCTGCCCTGGCACCACTGCTTCTCCCACAGCCCCAGAGTGGCATGGCATGGCCACGTGGAGCAGCTGAGAAAGAAAAGCTGACAGCGAGGGCTGTCTCCTGCACCTGGGGGAGGGATGGGTCCCCGCCGCCCCTGCCAGAGGTGCCAGAGACCTGGCACTGACCTTGGTGCAGGGTGGTATGCTGATGTTCAGGTGGCAGAGCACATGCTGGAGGTCCTCATATTTCATGGCCTTGCGCAAGAAAGACAGGGAACCACTGGCTTCCCGGCTGCTGTCCCGAACCTGAGCACCGACAGCCCAGTTAGGTGGCCTGGCACAGCGCTGGCGCAGGGGCCCCAGCTGCAGCCCAGCCCTGAACCCTGCCATTACCTTGATGGGGATGGCGAGACGATTCTCCCGGAAGGACTGGAAGAGGAAAGTGCGGGGCTGAGTGGCCTTCTTGACAGGCACCAGGTTCCCTGAGAGTTCGACGTGCAAAGGCATCCCCTCTACCACCTGGCAGGGAGCAGAAAACAGGCTCAGACCCTGTGCAGAGCTGCTCCTCCTGCCCCTGGACAGGGCAGGTAACCCCGACTCTCCTCCCCTGGCCAGGGCCAGACCCCTCCACTAGCATCAGTCTCCCCTCACTTGGACAGCCCTCTCCCTGCTGCCCCCCACGCATGCTGCTGGGGACAAACCTCAATGTCCCTGCTGCGGGCCACCTCAGTGAAGTTTTCATGCTGCTCTAAAGTCTTGTCAACCTTGTCATCAGTCATGCAGTAGCAGCGCAGCCGGCCTTCCCGTGCATCATTCATCTTGGCAAACACCACGAATTTAGCCATGTAGGGCACGGCCGTCAGCTCCTTGTACAGCATTGTGGCAAAGTGCACGGCCTCGGCTGTGCGTGGGCAGTCGGCCAGCCAGAACCTATGGGAGGGCTGGGTTGGGACGCTGCTGGGCAGGTCCCCCAGTGGCACCAGGACAGCTGCCCCCCGCAACAGCAAACTGCACCACAGAGGGTGCAAGAGCTCTGGGTACAGGAGCAGCCCCATCTGTGATGGGGACCCACCCAACCACAAAGAATGGCCCCTTCCCTCTGCACACCCAGTTGTCGTGAGTGTTTCCTGATGTGTGCCGAGGCAGCGTGGGGGTCTCAAGGCTGGAGGCAACTGCCCTGCACGTGGGAATGGGGCAGCACCACAATAAGCACAGGGGCGGGAGGCTCCTCCTGGCACAGGCTGCACCCCAAGAGGGCCCAAGGAGCAGCAGATGTCCCCAGATGAGCACATGCTCGCCTAGGACTCACCTGGCAGACACATTAGTGGTAAAGTTAGCACACTCATTTTCATAGACCAGCTTTGTGGTGCCTGTTATGTCTTCCCACTGGGCTTGGGCTGTCCCTCCTGCAGCAGAAAGCAAGGGTGAGCACGCTGCCTTTCCATAAGCCTAGGGTCTGCATCCCCCAGGCATTTGCTCTCTCCACCACCATCACCTGTCCTTAGCTCCCAGGAGCTGCATCCCATTGAGGTGGCCCAGCCTGTCCCCACCAGAGAGCATGCTCATCTGCACAGCAGAGGTTGGCAGCCTTACCGATCACACTGCAGAGGAGGCGCAGGCTGGTGGTGTCACCCTCGCCGCTGTCTCGGGGATTGTCCTTCCAGGATGGTGGCAGTGGGATGCGGAGGCCAATGGGGCGGTGGAACTTCCTCCGGCGTGGCTCCACCGTGACGATGGGGCTGAAGGTTGCCTGGTTCCCCAGCAGCTTAGTCACCAGCTCATCTGGCACAGGCTGTGCCTGCGGGCAGCACAACCATGGGCATCAGAGCTGGTCTGGGGCACAGCCTGGACCTGTTGCCTACCCCTGCCTGCAGGAGCCCAGCTGGACCCTGGGCCAGGCTCTCTCACCTGCAGGGCCAGCCTCACTCTCTTGGTGACAGCGGTGTCTGGGAAGGTGGCCTGTACCATGGGCACCAGTGTGCTTTTCAAACACCCTCCCTCGGGGCCGATCAGATCGCAGTCCTGGCAAATCCGGGACATGACCACGAAGTAGAGAGGGAAGTCGGTGGTGATGATGCGGCAGACTCTCTTCTTCTCCAGCTCCTCCAAGCTCTCCAGCTCTGCAAGGGCAGCACAGCCATCAATGCTTACACACCAAGCCCGCAGCTGTCGCCCACCACCCCCTCCGAGCTGCACTGATCACACCACGCTCAGCCCCATCCCACCACGCAGGCCAGCTGCAGCCCTGTCTGTGGGGGGCCACCTGGTGCCCAGCCCCCGCCTGCCTGGCACACTCACCCTCATCCATGCCGTTGAGCAGCTGGTCTATGTAGCTCTCCTCATAGCGGTTGCGATGCTCCTTCCAGACAGAGCCGTTCTCGCTGCGCAACACCACCAGCTCACGGTCTCCGCGCCCATACGAGGCAAAGTGTGGGATCTCCACAATGACGGGGCTGTAGACAGCAGAAGAAGGGTGCTTGCACCCATGTGCTGTTGCCAGGCCAAGCAGGCAGCAAGGTGGCCCTGGGCAGAGCGCCTGCCCATGCTGTACCCGCTGGACGAGGAAGGCAGGCCTGCTCATAGCCCTCTCTCTGGGAAACGGGGCTCTGTGCCTGGCGGGACCGTACTGGTCAGGGCTTTTCCTACCACAGCACAGCCACTGTTCTGTTATGCTGGAATGACCCACCCCAGAAACATGCTGCGCCTGGCCAGAGGCGGGATCTCTCCTGCACCAGACCCCCAGAAGCAGAGATGGACAGAGGTCTTGCCCCAGCTGGAAAAGACGCCAGAGGAGCCCGCATCCGTCCCCAGCCCTAAGGGACAGCCCTGGTGTGGGCAGCCCCATCTGCTCTGTTCCCAGCTGTGCTCACCTGAGGAACTGGGCACCGGCAGGCCCCAGGGCAATGATCCGGCTGGCCAGACCCTCCTCCTCAGCCAGCGGTGGGGGAGCAGGCAGCTTTTGGGGCTTCACCAGGCGGCAGGTGATGCGGGTCGGCGCAGCGCAGGCGCGGGATGGGATGACCACACGCAGTCCATGGTGCCGGCTGCCACGCATGGAGCCGCCACGGGCATCCACCATGAAGCTCACCAGGAACCTGGAGTGGGCAGAGGCACGGGCAGGTGGGCACCTTGCAGCCAGCTCACGCACAGAGCGTGCATGGGCTGCACGGGCTGGGCACTCACCCTGTGTGCACGGGGCTGGCCACCGGGCTGATGTTATCCGAGGTCTCGGTGGCGGGGCTGCTGGGGATCAGGGAGTCCTCGTCGAACTCCTTGGAGGGCTGTGTAAGACAGGGAAGAGCCCCCATGGGCACAGGATCCTATTTGGGGGTGCTGAGCCTGCCGACTCCTCTACAGTCTCACAACCCTCCCTGGGCAGTCCCATACTACCGGGTCCATCCCAACCACCCACCCGTTTCGGCTCTGTGGTGATGGGGGGGCTCCCCCCAGCAGGGAATGCCTGAAGGGGCCATGGTAGGCTGTGTCCCATGCTCACCTCCTGCGGGGACACCGAGGGTGCATGCAGCAGGCTGACTTGCTCAGCTTCTGTCTCCACAGGTCCTACCTGCTCAGTCTCCTCCGCTCTGGT